GCTCCATCCGTGGGGCCATGGCAGCGAACTCGGGCCTGGGCCGCTCCTGCAGGAAGGGAAACAGAGCCAGAGGGGGACTGGTGTGGTTCCCCCTCCCAGGGCATCCCCGCTGGGGAGAGAACAGGCTCTGCTGGACAGCTGGGCATCTGCAGGCATGCCCAGACCCTGCAACCCCCTGGACAAACTTTGCTGAATTAAGTGTAGATATCGTGTGAGTTCCCAGCGTTACGACCGCCGGTGTTTGTGTCCTATTGTGGGAGGGTAAGTGATTGCTTTTCAGCGGAAACGGGGCTGATGCAAACGCTGGGAAGGTCCCGTGCTTCAGAGGACACTGTAAAAACAAGGGGCCAGACACGCTGAAGTAGTTTCCCCAGGAAATCATAGACTTTAAGATCAGAAGGGACCATTATGATCATCTAGTCTGACCTCCTGCACAACGCAGGCCACAGAATCTCACCAACTCACTCCTGTAACAAACCCCTAACCTATGTCTGAGCCACTGAAGTCCTCAAATCGTGGTTTAAAGACTTCAAGGTGCAGAGAATCCTCCAGCAAGTGACCCGTGCCCCACGCTGCAGAGGAAGGTGAAAAACCCCAAGGGCCTCTGCCAATCTGCCCTGGAGGAAAATTCCTTCCTGACCCCAAATACGGCGATCAGCTAAACCCTGAGCATGTGGGCAAGACTCACCAGCCAGACACCCAGGAAAGAACGCTCTGTAGTAACTCAGATCTCACCCCATCTAACATCCCATCACAGGCCATTGGGCAGAAATCTCTAGGGGGCGACACCTACTCTGCAAGCTCTCCTTTCTGCGCATTGCCCTGCGCATCGCAGAGACCCAGAGAGGCTAAAGGGGGGACTCACACTCGGGGGGTGCTAGATCTGAGCACAAGCGGCGTGGAAATTGAGAGCCCAGGAGAACCCCCTGGGTGGGGCTGAAGGACTGATCACCAGCCAGAGCCCTGGTTCAAGTGGGGTGAGCTCTGCTCAGCTGTTTAGCACGTGTGCAGGTTCCTTTATTGGTTAATTTTCTCGGCAATGCTTTTGCCGTACGAATCCATGTGCTTGCTGAGGGAGAGCTGGGTGGCGCCGTATAACTGCCGGCAATGCGCCGTTTGCAGCCTCTGGAGAGAAAGCGAAGTGCCAACGCTGGCCACCCGCCAGCCTGCTTTTCTGGGCAATAGCACAGCATAAGCAGAGGGCTGCACAGCCTGGAAATACCCCGGGCAGCAGGGAGAGAGACGCGGGTCTCCACCCAAGAGAGGGGACAGCTGGGAAGGAGAAGGGTGGGGGCCCTTGGTGGGCTATTGAGGGGGATACAGGTTCAGGTGCCACAAATGGTGCCACCTGCCAACCCAATGCCACCGCTGAGGGAGTCGGTGCATCGCTGCGCTCGGCCCTGCTCCCGTGTCCGGGACTGGCACCAGTTAGTGGTTGGAGTCCTGAAGAGAGAGTCTCCTTAAACTCCTCTGGTCTGTGCCTGTGCTTTGGGGCAGGAGGTCTCGTTCCCTGCAGGGGGAGGCATGTATCTGGCCTCAGGGAGGAAAGGGAAGGATCCCCGACACGCACGCCTGCACCCACCCTGGCCAGCGAGGTGGCCTACAGCAGATGGGCAGAGCCAGCCGGGGTGGATGGATGGTCATGGGAACCCACCTCCTCCTCTTGGAAGTCCATACAGTCCCAGTGGTGAGCCAGCGTGGCGCTTTTCCTCTTCCAGTACTCCAGGAAGGTCACGGCCCAGAAGGACATGAAGACGCTGAAGAAAACGGTCCCGGGGTGATCAAACAGGTACCCGACCTGCAGGGGCACAGAGCAGAGGGGCCACACGGCCTCTTCACCAGACACAGAAGCCCTTTTCCCCTGCACATGCATTTACATCTTCACCGCCTCCATCTCACA